TTTTTAATTAAAAAGAAAGGTACCTTATTTTAAATCAAAAGCAAATGAGTTTAATCTAAAGTGGCATGTGATTTAAAAGGCAAAACAGCACATAATTTTAATAATGATAAGCTAAGGTAGTTATACTTTCCAAAGCATGAAATGATGGGAAGCGTCTGAAAGGGATAAAAAAAAAACACCCTTGTTGTCTGACAGCTACTATAATTCTTGCTCCTTGGCGTAACCACATTAGCAGACAATTCAAGCACTAGACCAAAGTTAAAAGATTTGTGTTAAGCGATAGCTTGCTGAAACTTCATAGGCCACACTTTTGTTTTGGGTCACTACTCTTTGTTTTCTTCTATTTTTTATACTACAAGCTAATGGAGACGAGTTCCTTTCAATTCTATACTTTTTAACGAAAAACTATTTATTACTCTTTCGAAATATCATGTTTCATGGTTTAGGATATGATTAGTTGATTACTATTTCTAGTTCCTGAATCTTTCCTAAATTTAATAGTCATGTTCTCATGAAACTTTGAACAAGCCACAAGAATTCGAAATTCTTTGTATGAAAACTGTTATCAGAAAAAAAGAAGGTTATATGCTGTCATTCAAATCATACATAATTGTCTAAAAAAAGGTTTCTCCATTAAATTCAGCGTCGCCCGTTGTCTCCTCAACCACAAGTGTTTGACATAGTAATTTCCGCTGTGGCTTTTTGTTTTTTTTCTGTTTTTTTTTTCTATTACAGACAGATCATGCCGTCTAACTAATGCTAGCTGATTTTACTGATAATTCCTGGAGTACAGATCAAAAGTTTAGCATTGGTCAACTAGCTAGTGATCAAAGGGTACATCAATTGAGACTTCCTCCATGTTTGGTGGGAAACTTAACATCTTTAATTTGTCATTGATACTAAAGTTGCTGCTGTTGTCAGTCATGCAGAGAATTAATAGCTACCTAATCTTGGCTAGCACCAAGCCCGCCTTTCTAATTTTCTAAAGCAATATGGTTTCAATTTGAACCTTTCCATAAATAAAGAAATCCACGTTGAGATAGCATAAGAGGTGTGCTTAGCAAATGCCAATTGATTAGTGTGCAGAGCTACAATAATGGAGAGAGAATCGAGCAGGCTGACCAACTCAAACCTCCCAAAACAATTTTTTAACCAAGTCAAAACAGTTATAGATTTCCCATTTGAGTAACCGTTGAAAAAGGGAAGAAGCAAAAACTAAAAAGGTAATAATATTCCAGCGCTCAACATTATATGTGTGACCACTTCCTTGGCTTTGAAAGAGTCAAAGGTAACAAATGAATTTGCTACCTCCTTTGGCCCTTTCTCTACAAATACTAGTTCTGGAGCACAAGCACGGGAGAGAGTCGTTAAATACAATGCAACTGATCCATCCGTGAGCCATTCACCTTTGACCCGTTAATTATTACCAAGTATTGAGTGTTCCTTTCCTCCCATGCTGCATATTCTTGGTTCTATCAAAGACCTTTTAGCCATAAATATGTAGTGTTTTCTTTTGCATGAGCCACACCTCCTTTGTTTCAACAACTCTCACGCCATATTTGATGACAAAAAGTAAGCTAGCGCACACAAAATTCTTGTCAAAAGAATGAAAGATCTAGAGGATTTTCTATGGGGTTTCTCTATTATTTCTCTTGCTCTCTACTTTCTTCGAAGACTAAGAAAGGTCATTTCTATGGCCTCGTTAAGCCTTACATCCCCTCAATCTTCTTCTCTTCCTTCTCCTCCTCTCAAATGGGTTAGCCAGTTTTTTCTTGAAAAAATGAAAGGTCCCTTTAATTAAAGACGATTCAGAAACAATAGTTCTGGTGCATGATCAAGAAAGTAACGTTTCACAAGAGAGTCAAAGTGGTGACATGAAAAGTAAAGCTTTGTATTTTGAAGAGGGAATCATGCAGGAAAGCATGGCCTGTGAAGCATATCAAAAGGGTTTGCATGATAAGAGTTCACAAAAGAATTCTGATGTTTTGATAAGGAAAGTAGGACTGGATTCCTTGAGAATAGTAAAGATTAGTGAAGGAGATCGTAGTAAGGGTGCTACCAAGCTGAAGAAGAGGCCTGGGAGGCTGGTTGTGCCAGAATATTCTCCGATAGTGGAATTTTCTCGAGTAGACAGGAAGTTGGAAAATAAAGAGTTCGAAGTTCAAGGGAGAGATTTCTATTTGGCTAGCAAGAAAGGAAGGAGGGAGGTCATGGAAGACGGGTATGGCATCATGATTGATATTTTGGGAGATGCAAAGCAGGTAGGTGACCTAACCTCCCACTCTCTGCTGGGTATTAGGTATTCCATATTTCATAAAAAAAATAATTAAATTGTAACTTTAACATAAACTTGGTGGTACTTCTGTTTGAACTGCTTCGTTATAATTAAGGATTGGATTAGTTCCTAATTGGGTTTTTAGTGTTCTTCTTTTAGTGCTAATTAAACCTTCCTTGTTACTCTCAATTCTCCATGTTTTGGTTTATCCGGGGGCTTAATTATGGTCGATCTTTCTTGTTATGCTCAAAAGATTTTGATCCCTGCTTCTTCTATTCTGTCACTAGGCATTTTTTGCTGTCATAGATGGACATGGAGGCCGTGCCGCGGCTAATTACGTTGCTGAAAACCTAGGAAAGAACATTGTGAAAGGTCTTCAAAACGTTGGTTGCAAGGAAGATGGCCAATTAGAGGAGGCCATTCGAGGAGGCTACTTGGTTACAGATAGGGAGTTTCTTAGCCAGGTAAACTTTCAACTTTCAATGTTGAAAACGACGTTATGATGGTTTGACTTAGTCTTATTGTACTACCAAGTTCGGAAAGGCATCCACGTATAATCTATACACACACACACACACCCCACGAATATATTGTTAGATTTGTTAATTATTGGTACTTCTGTTTGAACTGCTTCGTTATAATTAAGGATTGGATTAGTTCCTAATTGGGTTTTTAGTGTTCTTCTTTTGGTGCTAATTAAACCTTCATTGTTACTCTCAATTCTCCATGTTTTGGTTTATCCGGGGGCTTAATTATGGTCGATCTTTCTTGTTATGCTCAAAAGATTTTGATCCCTGCTTCTTCTATTCTGTCACTAGGCATTTTTTGCTGTCATAGATGGACATGGAGGCCGAGCCGCGGCTAACTACGTTGCCGAAAACTTAGGAAAGAACATTGTGAAAGGTCTTCAAAACGTTGGTTGCAAGGAAGATGGCCAATTAGAGGAGGCTATACGAGGAGGCTACTTGGTTACAGATAGGGAGTTTCTTAGCCAGGTAAACTTTCAACTTTGAATGTTGAATACGACGTTATGATGATTTGACTTAGTCTTATTGTACTACCAAGTTTGGAAAGGCAGCCAGTACATATATATATATATTACGAATATATTGTTAGATTTGTTAATTACTTAATGAGCCAATTAATTCACCATCAATATTACTTTATTTTTTTTATTTTATTTTTTCATCTGGAACTAGATTAATCTAGTGTTTGATTAGAGGACTTGAAAATAAGACCAAGAGAGTTGCAACTCAATTCCCGGTACTGCCATTTACATGGGAGAAAAAAAGAAAGAAGAAAGCATATATGACCTGCATGTTTATTGAAAAATATATCCATGGAAGTTTGGTACGTAATTTGTTGACCTCAAGGTATACTTTGACATGTTCTCGAGATTTGAAGTCTATAATTCATTTTAATTGATCCCTTTTGTTAATAAGATATCTATAATTAAAAATTAATAAAATATTTCTGCAACAAACCATTTCATAACAACGCCATTAAATATACGCGGCCAGCTACCTCATAATTGTATATTTTTACTGAAAAAGAAGTGAATAGTTTCGTTTCTTAGAACACATTAGACCAGTCTTTGATGGCATGTCCAACCTGGCAATTTAAAAACGCTCTGAAACTTTATATATCTCGCAAAAAATAAAAAGAATGAATGAAGCTAGATAGGGTCCCATTCGGATTGCAGTTAAATATGCTTAATCATACATTTTAATTGAATTTTGACACCTGCAGGGTCTTAGCAGTGGAGCTTGTGTATTTTATTTTTTCATCGGGGACTAGATTAATCTAGTGTTTGATTAGAGCACTTGAAAATGAGACCAAGAGAGTTGCAACTCAATTCCCGGTACTGCCATTTACATGGGAGAAAAAAAGAAAGAAAGAAAGAAAGCACATATGACCTGCATGTTTATTGAAAATTATATCCATGGAAGTTTGGTACGTAATTTGTTGACCTCAAGGTATACTTTGACATATTCTCGAGATTTGAAGTCTATAATTCATTTTAATTGATTCCTTTTGTTAATAAGATATCTATTATTAAAAATTAGTAAAATATTTCTGCAACAAACCATTTCATGACAACGCCATTAAATATACGCAGCCAGCTACCTCATTATTGTATATTTTTTACTGAAAAAGAAGAGATTAGTTTTGTTTCTTCGAACAAATTAGACCAGTCTCTGATGGCATGTCCTACTTGGCAATATGAAAACGCTCTGAAACTTTATATATCTCGCAAAAAATAAAAAGAATGCCTAGATAGGCTTCCTTTCGGATTGCAGTTAAATATGCTTAGTCATACATTTTAATTGAATTTTGACTCCTGCAGGGTCTTAGCAGTGGAGCTTGTGCAGCTAGTGTGCTGTTGAATGATGGAGAATTACATGTTGCAAACGTTGGTGACTGTAGGGTAGTTTTAAGCAGGAATGGGGTAGCTCATGCACTCACAATTGATCATAGAGTTAGCAGAGAAGATGAGCGCCTTCGCATTGAGAATTCTGTAAGTTAATTGATACTTACTGCTAATTATTATTATACATCAAAATAAAAGCTAAATGATAACCTAGCTAGCTACACCAATTAATTGCAGGGTGGTTTTCTACATTGCCGCAATGGGATTTGGAGAGTTCATGGGTCCCTCGCCGTTTCTAGAGCAATTGGAGACCAGCACTTGAAAGAATGGATAATTTCTGAACCTGAGCCAGCATCTGAAAGAATGGATAATTTCTGAACCTGAGATCAAAAGGGTTCCATTAACTTCAGATTGCCAGTTCCTGATAATGGCATCTGATGGCCTATGGGATAAGGTATGTTTCTATACATATTTACGTAGGTATTTTGCACCCCTCCCACCCCCCGAGAAAGAAAAAACAAGTTCAGGGCATGATCAATTATATTTTGTCGGGATTTTGCAGGTAAATGAGCAAGAGGCAGTAGATGTGATTTTAAAAGACAACAACAATTCAGTAGAGTCTTGCAAAAAGCTTGTAGATATGTCTTTCGGCAGAGGCAATATGGATGATATTACTGTTATGGTGATAAACCTTCAGAATTTTGTGACAAATGGTTGTTGACTAATGCTGGCGACTCGTTGAAGAAATTGAATGCAAATGGCTTGATTTGCTGGCCTCCATTCATCGCTGTACTCCACATTCCTATTTATTTTTAATGTTTTAAAAAAAAATAATTTTTTTCATTTTTTTTATTTTAAATTTTTTTTCATAATCCACTCGTATTAAAAATAATTTTTAAAAATATCCTTTAAAAAAAAAAAAATTTTTTATTTTTTTTATTTTAAATTTGTTTTTCATAATCCACTCATATTAAAAATAATTTTTAAAAATAAAAAATATTTAAAAAAAAAAACCATAATTACAATCCAAACAAGCATGGTCGGATGTTCCTATGATGAATGAGAACGAGAGGTAAAATGGGTTCCCAGGTAGATATTTCCATCATCATTCAATTTCGTAATTGCCTTTTTCTTCTCAGAGATGAAAAGTAAATCATTTTGTTTTTTTGTTTTTTTAGGCCAGGCCCATATTTTGACTGGTTTGGTTGGCTTAATTCTACGTGCAATGAAGCTCTTATGTTGATGTTTCTCTTTTCTTAACTCATATTCTAATTACTTATTAAATACCAGTCCATCTTTCAGTCCCATGTACAAATAATTTCTTTTTACTAACAAATAATAAATATAATAATTAATTTTTTTCATCAATATTCAAAATTAAAATATAATTTATTTTTTAATAAATTACCATGATCATACTATAAACTATAATTTACCGACGATATGATATTCTATTACCATGTTATGATATTTCATGAATTATTATAAGCCACTTATAGTTTATAGTTTAGTCAACTTAATATTTAATTTTTATTTTTGCTTCCTTGAGATGAATAAGGAAAGGAAAATAGAAAGGAAAATCTCAATATAACACAATAAAATAATAGCTTTAACAAATTAAAATTATAAACTTTTAAAATTTCAAAACCTAAAAACAAAATGACATTTCTACATTGAAAAATTATTTAAGTGACATGATCTAGAAACTCTTATATTAGTATATCATTATTATAGCAATCAACCTTCTTATATGCATTTCATCAAATAGACTAAAATTTAAGTTAACACCGAAGCAATATTAAAATAAAATTCAAGTTAACACCAAAGTAATATTAAAATATTTCAAATGAAATGGATTAAAGACTATCAAAATAAATAAAAAAAGTAGAAAAAATAAGAGAAGACAAAAACTTAGTTATTGTTCTAAAACTACCATGTTATTGTTCTAAAAAGTATTAGGACAAAGCCAACAACTATATATCGAAGACAAGATTATAATTGGAACCAATAAAGTAAAAGGAATCATTTTTTGTCCAAAGATCAATACCCTATTCATCCTTTTATGTTGAACATGAGTAACTTAGTTATTTCCACAATTTCTTGCAACCCTAACCCTTTGTTATATATATAAAAAAATAACTAACAAATACATAAATTTTCATTAAAAAAAACCCATTTGTATGAAATATGATAAAATAAAAAAAGGTTTTCAAAATTGATATGGTTAATATTTTAGATATTATAAATAAAGTTATGTTAGAACCTTAAGAAATAAGAGATAAAACATGATCTTCAAGCCAAGTAAGAACAAAAAATAAGAGAAAATAGATGAGAATTAATTGATCTTATCAACAAGCATGAAGGATTTCATAAAAAAAACATATCTTATCAACAAGCATGAAGGATTTTATGAAAAAATCAAAAAGTCTAAGAAGGAAGCATATTGAAGACTTAGAATTAAATATTTATTTTAGTATTTTTATATAAATATGTATATTTCATGCTAATAGCATAAAATAAAATGAATGCATATATTTTACTACCTATACATTTAAAACATATGAGAATTAAGTGATCGTATCAACAAGCACAAAGGATTTCATAAAAAAACATGATCTTATCAACAAGCCTAATATTGAAGACTTAGAATTAAGTTTTCATTTTAATACTTTTTTATAAATATGTATATCTCATGTTGATAGCATAAAATAAAATGAATACATATATTTTATTATGTACATATTTAAAAGGATTAATAAAAATACATAAATGGTTCTAACAATTTACCTATGTTAAAATTGATAAATTTAGGATTTTATATGAATCGGTTGAACATTTAGCTTAATCAAATTAATGAATAGGTTGACTATTTGTTCATTTCAATATATGCGAATTTCATAGGAATCGGTCGACTGTTTTAGTTGTCATTGTAACTATAATGATTATAAATTGCTAGTTTTTGCTAGAAACATATAAATAGCTTCTCTAATTGCAAATTTAATAAAAGAATTAGAACCTATATGATATACAAATTATTCTGGTGCAAAAATACATTGAAATCATCAATTCTTAATTATAATCTAATTAATGCTATTAAACCTTCATATTCTAGTACAAGAATATTTAATATCATTCTCACTACACTTAACACTTTTAGATCCTTTAAATTCTATCTTTTAAGATATAGAGATATTATAACTTTGAATTATATTATCCACTCTATTAAAAGAATTAATTGTGATAACAAAATCACAATTGTAAACCTTTGTGTATAAATTCTTGGTATTGGTGAAATAATTTCACCAAGAAGAAATTTTGAAAATAATATATCTTCAAGGGAAAACGATATTGGTGTGGATTCATTAAGTGACTGATTGATACTTAAAAGTGTATTTTTATCATGGTTTTATATCATCATTTTGCACTTGAAGTATCAATAACTCCTTAACTAAAGCATGTTTTATAATAATATATCTAATAATATAAGATACCTTTAATTTATGGTAAATGTTCATTTTAAATCCAGGCCTATGACATAAATGAAAGGATTGATTGATGACTTTAAGAATTGAAATTGAAAGGACAAAGAGATGGTCACACTTAGAAAAGAGATGTCGGTGCAGTTGAAACCAGAATACTGCTCAGTAATTGGATCATATCTAGAGCTATAGATTTCAGATTTAGGTCATGAATAGAAAGGTATGACATAGGCCTACAACTTTCATATGGAGCCCAAGATCTAAAAAGGCCATTATCAAGTACAAATTGTAGCAACAACAAAGAAGCCCGAATCTGTCTTCCAGCCCGAGCACTGTTCGGTATTTTGGCCATATCTGGAGTTCTAGAAGTCCAAATGAGCTGAAGTTTTTACACAAGAAAGCTGAGACAATTGCCCACAACTTTCATGTTTGCAACTGGCTCCAGTTTTGACGTTATCAATGACGTTTTGGGCAGACAAAAGAAGATAAGGATTGTCACCAAGTCAAAAGTTGGTCACCCACTTATCAATTAGTCATCAAATCAATAGTTCCCATTTTTGGCCTATAAAAGGAGGCATTTGCCATGCATTTAGGCATCTTGGTTTCCAGATCAAGATCATGCTCTTCCTTTCTCTCTTTGTATTTTTTATGCTTTGTTTTCATTAATATTAAGTTTATGCCTTTCATTTCCTTTCCTTTACTTAGTTAACTTTTATGTTCTTATTTTGTTTATCTATTTTGCTTTCTTTCATTATGTCTAGCTAAGTTAATTATGTCACATTAATCAAATAAGATAACTAATGTAATCATGTTAACAATTTATAATCTGATTGAAATCACCTTTGTGTGTGGTTTCCAATTGAATAAAGAGAGTTTATACTATACTTTTTTTGACATATCATTAGTGGAACCTCTAACCTTGACATTTATTATTATTATCGTTTAATCCTTACATTAATATTCCATCTCAAAGTTTTCATCTTCTTCTTCTTCTTCTTTCTTTTCTTTATTATTATTATTATTACTACTACTACTACTATTACTACTACTATTGTTATTATTGTTGTTGTTATTGTTATTTATAATTTCTACAATTAACCTCTAAATGGTTCGACCCCAGTCTTGCTGGGTTATTTATTACTTCGACACTCCTATACTTGGGAGAAGACATCAATCTTTTAGTTGTGTCAGTGACTACTATACCCTTGAACTTGAACAGGTAGAGGAAAATAACATTGAAGATAGGTTTGATACTTGAGGTGTGGACGTAAGCTTATCTAGTTATTTTAAGCACTTTAATTATGTTGTTGATTATTATATTTATATTAGTTTCCTAGTTTTAATTGGATTATTTGTTAATATTAGTAAAACAACTAATTTACCCTCTCTTGGTTATAATTGTTTTATCTTACAACAACACAAAGATTCTAATTAAAAAAATTAAAGCACAAATCAATACAAACAACTCTATCCAGTATCATGTTTTTAGATATAAACTTTAATAAATTCTAATTAAATTTATTAATTTTTTTATTAAAAATTGTAATAGTGCACTAATTTGAAATCCGTATGTGATATTGATATAATTAATATGCTTTATATTAGTATAATTATCAATTCATTAATAAACATATTAACTTGGTGGTATTTTCTATTTAACCATTTCATATTATTTTATTTAAACATATAAAATATTATTGTTTTTCCTACAATAAATATAATATTAAAGGATAGTTTTGTTATTTACTATTCAAACCATTTGTTTTGTAAAATTATTCAACCAATATATTTTTGTTCTTTTTCAACCTTTCGAATTATATCTCTATTATTAAAGTTATTGCCAAATAAAATTGGAGTTTCATCATTACATATCTAAACTTTATAACAAAATAATTTAATTTTTGGAAATATATAAAAAAAATTAAGCCAACCACTAAAAAGACTTATCTGATTATCATACACACTTTATGTAAACTAATAAATTTGACTCATAAAGTTTGTTTATATATATATATATATATATATATATAGTTTTATAACTATAGTAATTCAAATTCAAGTAAATTATAAATTGTATATTAAATTATGATTGAAAAAGTGTAATTAAATAAAGAATACTTCATACAATAGCATATTTACTTACAATTCCACTAAATTTAACTAATTCAATATTTATTAATACGAGTATAAAAAATAATGTGATCAAAACCCAACTACCGCATAAATTGCTAAAATGAAAGGTAACACTTATTTTAGTAATAACCATTAACTCTAAAATTAAAATAAATGATGAATATCATG